GTGAACACATCCTTGAGTTTTTGCTCCTCACTTGTGGAAAACTCTGATGGACCAGGCGACTGAAATGTTCCACTCTTCAAATTTTTGTGTTCCAGGAGAGATATTGTTTCTAGGATTTCTGATCCTTCTTCTGATCCAGATGGCTGTTTTTTGGAGTGGGTTTCAGAACTCAATTGAGAGGTTAGTAGATTTTATTTTTATTTATTTTTTTATTTTAGCAACAATAAACATATGAACCAGTACAACTTGAATGATACGGTCTTCAATCTGAAAGCTTGATCTGGTAGCAACAGATTCGCGGCTCAACACCTGTCATCAGTGCCTTCAATAGCTAATTTTTTTGCCCTTTGGGAGAAAGTCCCAATCACAACAAATTTCGTAACTTAAATTTCGTCGCTCTGTACTAGTGACAGTGTGATGGTAATAAAAAGCTTGAAAAATAATTTGTCTATAATCAAACAGGATCGGATGTATTGAAAGTATAGTTTAAAGAGGAGCAATCCGTTGCTCTAATATCTACTCTCCCAGCTACCATTGATATTTTAGATAGAATAGATATGTTCTTGTATTGATAAATTCCTGAAGTCTTTCTAGACGTAAAATTGAGATACATTTTTCCTGACTTCCATACACAGGGGAAAATACCCCTTGTAAATGAAGAATTTGTCAATTTACAAAGAAATGATGCCTTAAGCTTTTCCAGAATTTTGTGCATTAGATTTTATTTTCATCTTTAGCTCCAGATTCCTGAAATAGATATTTTATTCTAGTTGGCAGTAAAACCTATTCACACATTTAAGTCTTGCTTCTTATCCTTATCTTATCCCGCTATAGTTTTTTTTTACTCATTGTAAATCAGACTGCTGTTGATTTATGATATGAGCTAATGAAATCGAAGTCAAAGTCCTTGATAGTTCATAAAAAAAGGCCACTATTGTCGATTCTAATCTTCATGATGATATGGATTTTGCTGTTCCTATAAACAAGAAGATACATTTCATAGATTTAAGAGTAATAGTGGCATTTTCCATAAATAATGACTGAACTGTTACAAAACATACAGAAATTGCTAGACATCAAGCTAAACGAAATTATCTAGAAATTTAACTAGAATTTATACTGTAATCCTTTCATCATTTTAAGTCTTCTAGGACGTACAGTACAAATAATATTCATTAAGACTTTTGACTGCATAATGACACAAACATGAAAAGGTTTAAGGCTCCCCAAGGTGATGGGTTAAATGCAGAGAGTTCATTTTCGTTGCTCAGTGTAATGACAATAAAATGCTGGGGGGGAAAAAAACTTTTGCAAGTCACTGTTACCATTTTAAGTAAACCAAAATGGGATAATAGTCATTGCACACATTTATCAAGGCTTATATCAGCTTAAGCACATACAAATCGTTTCATTTCAATCAAAGCCAATTTAAGCAATAAGTTAAATGTACCGAGACCAAAGCTTTCTTTTCACAGCCATTATGTAAACTAATCAGCGTTTAGCAATTTAAGCCTAAGTCCTGTCATCAGTCTCCTCCTCTCTCTACATATGCGAGAAAATGTGTTCGCCATACTGGGTATGTGCATTGACCCCAAGCAGCTGTGCTTTTCCCCCTCATCAGTATTCCATGTAGGAAGGAAAGGGTGGTAGGGGGTGTTTTTACTGAGCATAAAATGAATAACAACAGGCAACAAGCCTCTGGAAGTGTGTTCTCCCTTAATTGAAGTTCCCCTTTCTCCAGACGCTGCACAATGTGTGCGTATGTCCTCCAATATGTCTCCCCCTGCCTGGCCCCTCAGTCCCCTTAATTGGGCCTTTCAGTTCCCTAATTAACTCTGTCAGAGCAGGTCGGCCTGAGCCAAGTTGGGATAAGCAGTCCTCTATTGATCAGAATCTGAAGCAGTTAACTTATCCATCTGTCTACAAGGGCGTGGATATTAACAAAATGGGGAGTGTGTATAACTAGAACACAGCATTCTTGGCTTGTTAAAGGTATTTCTTTAGGAGGATTTAATGTATGTGTTGCAGATTAAATTGTTCAAATATATATTTGTAATAATTCATCTACATGAATTTTTAGGTTTGGGATGCAGCAACTATAGAAACACATGGAACTCATCAAAGATTTTGTTTGAAGTTGAAAGGATGGCATTTGACAAACATCTATGATGAGAATCTCCATCTATGCTTAGATCAAATGAATGTTAGGGCAACCAGAGTACAGTCAAAAGGGGGTAGAATACCCCAAATTTGTACTTAAGAGTAACACATCTTTGTTGTATTTTTACCTAAATAAGAATAAAAAAGTATCTGATAAAACGTTGAATCGAGTACTGAGTCATTATAGTATCTGAAAATTAAATAATGTTTTAAAAACAAACAAATATGTAAAACTATGTGCAAATTCTGGAATCTTAAAGATTATAACAAAAAGAAGTTAAACAAACAAATCATGAAATAAAAACTCCAGGCAGAAGAAACTATTTTCTAAAACAACTTTCTTTTTAAAATAAAACTATTTACAACAAATACTCCTAACTTTTGATTAATTTGACTTCCAAATATGATATTAATTTCAAGTAAGCAAAAAATAACACTGATTTTGAAAGGAACTTTTAACTCTACATCTTCATTATTAAAAAGCGTATTCATTATTCAGCGAAGTTAGTCACGATGAATGGAGTAGCCAAACATTTTACTCAAGTAAGAGTAGATACATTTTATGAAGATATTACTCAAGTTAAAGTAAAACATATTTTGCAGTAAAATTACTTCTACAAGTATATATTTTTTCAGTTTTTCAAGTAACTGTAACTAAGTAAATATAACTCATTACTACCCACAATGAAATTACTGGTTACTATGGTTTCTGGATGAGCATATCTTGATTGATGTGTTATTTGTTTAGAGTTGGTATTATGCATACCTTGTAATGAGGGATTATTTAAAATAATAATCCCATTTCACCTTCAGGAATTTATTAATCCTATGGGGAAATATTAAGATGCCTGTTGGTGCCACTATTCAAAAAGTTGTACTTTACACGAGGACTGAAATAGTGGGAGGAAGTGATGGTATCATGAGTTATCCAGTGACGTAGGAACAATGTCAATGTTTTGTAGGCCATCAGTCCCACTGGGAAGGCTATTAGCAGAGCTACAAAGGTGTTAGTGAGGTAACCTTCAAACCTCAGTTAGTTTCTGCACTTCTGCCAAAAGCAGTGGACCCAATTTTAGCTTAAAGTATCAAATAGTAAGCACATGTATGTACATTTATAAAAATTATGCTTTTGATCATATTTATTGAAAATTACACATTGAAATTGAATATTAATATTAATTCCCTTTAGGATTAATAAAATATTTTTGAATTGAAATCTCCAAATTTAAAATAAATGTAAATAAAAATATTTCTTACTATTCTGATTTATTTGCGAAAAGAGGTGGTTTCAGAAATTCTAACTAACCTAAAACAGTAATAAATGTTTGTCAATGAAAAAAAAAATCTTGCTTGTCCCTAACTCTATAAATATCTTTGAATAAAGATATTTTTTTTATTTATTTAGGCTATGCAAACTTTTTTTTTTTATCATCAAACTAACCTTTAAATACTATTCCAGATATAAACAGTAAATATATTAAAAATCTCTGAAAACTCTCAGCTGGAATAAATATTTTAATATCTGACCACTTTGCTACTTATCTACTCATTTACTGTATCATTCATCTCTCTTCGTGCTCTCTTCAGCCTCTGACATGGGAGCTGGCTCTAGCTCTGAGCCTGGTTCTGCTGGAGT